GCGGAGTCGGCGAGCGGAGAGAGGAACGCGGAGAGCGGACTCCACTTGTCTTAGGCAATTTAATGTTACTGTATTCCTAGAAGCGGAGCAATATGGTTCGAAACTAGGCCCAGATATCCTTGGTTTGTGGGTTTTTATAATCGTCTGGTTTAGATTAGTTCAGTCATAGATAAAACATACTCCCTTAGTAGATTTCTCATCCTTATGGAACAGCTGAAGACAATTTTATTGTTAGTTCATGTACGGTTTATGTAGAGGTCGTGTTTTGTTTACAATTTGTTTCCCGTTATTACAGCCATTTAAAACCTCGTTTAACCAAATAATACGATCTAATCATAAACAATAACTTGTCCCCTAGTTATATAACCAAACAGTAAAGCACAAATCAAGAAATTAACCCTAAAATAATAGAAACAAAGTTTCGTCAACACTAGCGCCTTTGTGTCACGTACATGAACTAGACACGAAAAACGTGCTTCAAAATTTACAATGGGGTGAGAAGTCTACTTGTGTAAGTTAGTCTATGGTTCAGTTTAGCTTAGTTTAGTTTATGATAGGCCTCATAACAAATAAGGAAATAGGCTTCAATTAATCAAAAGACGTTTTGTACAGGAACGATGGATTTCCCTCCTATTGATAACTGTTGGAAATCCATTACGTGTATTACCAATGACTTTGGTTAATTAATCGACAAGAAGTTAGGACTGTTGTTGACTGAGATTTGGCTGATTTGCCCATACAAATGACATTGCCGTTACGCGCAGAATAAGCGTAGCCTACTACTAGTTAAGTAAATAAATAAAACAGTTCATTACCTGAGAAATGAGTTTATTAAAACAATCAATACGATATTAATAAATAATAAACCATAGGAGTTATTAGTTCGTGCTGATCCACTATATTTACATTTCTTCGAGATTTTCGTTCCATTGAAGACGTTCGTGTGCTCATTGATCCATGGAAGAAATGGACAGATATCCTGAAACATTATCAATATGGGACTGGAAAAAATGTCATTATAGAAGGTGCAGTAGAACCTCTATAGCAAGCCTCTAGGGATTATCATATACGATTTCTTATCAAGGTTGACTTCTTAGCGAGATTTACAATAACATGTCATTTAGGGCCTATCTAGGACAAACAAACCATGGCCATACGTTCAAAATACATATTTTTAGCGTTGCCACAAACCGGGAACGGTTATCAAGGGATTTGATGGCTAAGGGGAGGTCATTCCAAAGTCGGCAAGCGGTCACAACAAACGCTCCGTCGTAAACTGCAGTCCTATGATTATTATTAACTTATTAACTTTTAATGCTATTGAACATCACAGAATCAAATTGCTTAGTTAAACCAGCTGTTAATTTTCTTTAATTCCATTTAAATATGAGTACTCATAAGGTTAACATGGGAAACTCCAGAGCCACTGGGGCGGAGCCCTTTTGACGGATCTGCACCAAACTTTACACAAACCATCATTGAATAATGCTTAATAATGCCTGAAAGTTTCATTACAATCTGTCGAGCGGTTTCGGAGTCCATAAAGGACAAACATACAAACAAACATACATTGGATTTTATATATATAGATGTGTAGACCAGGGGAGTTGCAGTAAGTGAAGTGGGGGGAGACAAGTGATTTGACAAGATGTATTTTTATGTGCATTGACAAGAGGTTTTGTAATTTTTTAAGTGCGTGGATTGATGCAAACACCTTTTTACGGATGTCTACGACTGCATCGCCCCAAGTAAGTGTCGAGTTCATAGTAAGTCCTAGGTTTTTGACCTTGTCACAGTAAAGCAAAGCTGTTCCATTTATATTTATTAGATTTGTCGTGAGAAAGTCAATTGAGTTTCGTAACCGTGGATGACAAATTATGATAGGTTTAGTTTTTTCGTGATTAAGTCTGAGTCCGTGTTTATCAGTCCAAGTAATGATTTTCTCAATATCTTCATTCACTCTCAGAACACTTTTGTTGATCTGTTTGGATGAAAAATGTGTATAAATCTGTAAGTCATAATCATACATGTGTTATTTACAGTGTGTGAGGACTGAGCTCAAGTCGTTTATGTATAGTACGAACAACAGAGGGCCAAGGATGGACCCCTGAGGCACACCATTAGTAACTGTCTCCCAGTCAGATCGTAAGTCATCAACCTCAACACACTGCCACTTGTCTGGCAGATAGGATCCCAGCCAGTCCAATACACCATTTGAAAACCCTATGGCCCTTAGCTTTTCCAAGAGGAGCTTGTGACTTACACAGTCAAAGGCTTTAGAGAAATCAAATAAGGTAAGAATCCTTTCCTGCCGATGTTCCATTGCTAGTCTAATGCCATCTGTCACACGTAAAAGTGCTGTTTCTGTACTATGAGCTGCTCGAAAGCCAGACTGTGAGTTGCATAAGATATTGTTTTTTGTCAGAAAATTAGTTATTTGGCAGTGAACGATTCTTTCAAGGCCATTTTAGTGTCCTGATAATGGTTATTTTTTCTTTATCTGAACATCTTGCACGTCACCGTAACTTTTTTTACATTTTGATATGTTTAGCTTTTCTTTGCTATGCAGCTGCTTAAATTAAACAACCAATCACAATTAACAAAGGCAATGTTATAAAACTAATTAGTACGCCGTTTAATTTTTCGTCTTTTAAAGCAATGGTATAGGTGTAACCTTTTTTTAACACGGGTAGTCGTGAAATATAAATTAATTTAACTATGGAACTGATAAAGTGGCAGCTTTAACTTATAGAATACTGTGATCATCCCCGTGCTCTCAAGTCTTTCCAAGTTTTAGTAATTTAAATGTTAACTGGAACGGACAGAGTGCGCTGATTAAAATTTTTACTGTCCAATAATCCTATTTTTAAGCCTAAAAGCTTGAGTCAAACTAATGGGACAAGCTTACAAATGAACTTTGACATCAGCGTACTCTTTGGGTGGCTCATTCACCGATGTTTAGTTAAATATAAAATAGGCTACAACGCTACAACTTGTGCATATGGATGTCTTGCTTCTTCAGTACCGTGTTCAATAGTCAATGGTAAAATGTAGCCTCACGCCTTTCATAAAAATTTAAATATATTATTAGGAAATTAGATGTATTTTTAATGTTGATTGTTTGTTGATTTACTTTCTTCTTCTTCTTCTTCTAGTTCGCTTTTTAAAAGCTGGCTTGGTTTAAAATAACCACGTAGCCACACTACTTCCTAAGTAAATTTTCCCGGGGTTTTTTAAAATGTCAAAAAGATGCTAGTTTGTGAATTTTTATTTTTATGTCTTGTTGGGCTATTATTAAAGTTGGATTTCTGTTTCTTTTAGAAATTTTAGTAATGGTGGCCATAGCTTGCAATTTTTTTCCATTAGGAGTGTTTGTACATTTGGTGGTAGATTCCTATTTGCTGTTTTAATTGTTGTATAAAAGCATTGTCTCATTCTATTATAAGCTGGGCATTCTGTATTTTCTAGTTTTGATTAATTGAGGGAAAATTATACATGGGTGCAACATAAAGTCCCTTAAAATTATATTTACTATATCACTACTAACGAGCGGTTTGAACGTTGTGGTAGACTTCCTATCTATATGGACCAGATGTAGCCAATTTTTTATTATAAAAGAATGTAGTTGTGTGAGCCAGTCACAGAATGCGCTAGTGTCTAAAATTGTATTTTATACCTTATTTTTTGTAGATTAAATCAAGACCATTTATTGGAAGCTCAATGATCAAGTAGACCTGTGGGTCCAGATTTTTACCTTTCAATTTTTCATCTTATGTTTCCTTTTTAATTTTTTACTCAATGCTACATCATCATCGTGTCATTTAATATACATAAGTAGCTAAATTCTCTCCTGTATCAGTATACAGGATAAGCTTCTTCATTCTCGTCTTTCTAGGTACAGATTTTCCTAGTTTGTTTTTGTTTACGTCTCTCTAAATAAATCTATCCCTCTTCCACGTACCGTAGATGTTTTTTTCAGCCTTAATTCTTGTGACATCTCTTTCTTAGTTCTTTGGCCTGGCGCACACGGTCGATTTATTGATCGGTCGAAAAAAATCGGCCAAAAATAAACCGCCCTTAGTTTATGTCTAGGTGCACACGTGGCGATTTTTTAGTTGAGAAATAGATGTTTTCGAGTGCGTAGCTATCCTTAAAATGGACTTTGTAGAATTAACCTGTGTTTGGGCTCTTCTAATTAGTTAAAAAAAAAAACTTAAATATTGGGTTCATCCGATAGTAAGTCAGAGACGATATTCTTTCAATTTTTTTCTTTACAACTGCGGCCCTTTTTCTTTTTATTTTCAAATTGTTCAGTATCAAACTCTACCACTGCCATAGTAAAAAGCAAGAAAAACTAGGAAAGAAAAACTACGACAACACGACTTACGCTGAGACTTTGACTGACTCCTGAGAAAAACAACGAGCGACTGGCCGATTTTTTAGTCTACGGTGTGCGCGGACTGATAACAACCTGTACGTTACATGTTTCCGGGCGACAATCGCCTTGCGTACGAAATTGCAGCAAAATGCAGATTTTAAAATCTGTGCAATTCTCGATTGCCTGTGTGCGCGCTTCCATTCAAATACATGATGCACAGATCGGCCGATGAAATAATCGCCTCAAAATAATCGCTCGGGTGCGCTTTGCCAGTTTTCTTAGTTCTCCTCTTAGTTTTAACTCTTTCTTAATAAAAAATCCACAACCACTTTTTACACTGTTTACAAACTTTTTATTTTTAACTATTTAAAAATGTAAATAAACCCTCTTTTACACAATAGATTAAACAATACTAACACAAATATAGAAGAGCAACAATGAAAGATTTTGTTTTGATGAAAGCGAAACATAAAGCACTGTATCAGTGTAAGCTCCTGCCAATAATTTGTAGCCTACTTAAGTAGTTTCCTGGTGGCCTATGGCCCTTCACAGCGTATGTCACGGGGCGGCGTGGCGGGGAGAGTGAAGGTATTTAGAGATAACCTCTCTTGGCCCTCCGCCAACCTCGCTCGGGCTAAATCCGTCACAAGCCTCGGAGTAGCTCTCGAGACATGGGATGGGAGGAGCGGAGTCGAAGACGAGGGCGAGGGCCTACAGACACCAACTAGCAGGTCAGTCCATGGGTAGTGCTGGAGTCAGCTGATTCATTGATGTAATCAGCTGATTAGTAGGTTCAAGGTTAGCTGGAGGTGAGGTGGACGGTTGTGGACAGAACCCCCCCCTCCACCACCTGCATTGTTGGAGATATGACTCATGTCACATTGAAAAGATTGACAGTTGAAGTTAACAGTTGGATGGGCTTGTTTTGTGTTTAGTTTTCTGCAAACTACTCCTCTCCTTTAAATGAAACTTATGTATTTTCACTACCACGCACGTTGATCAAATTAGAATTTAATATGAATTGAAAAAAAAACGGTGTGAATTATTTAGAAAAAATACCAGAATACTGTATTTATTAATTTTATGCCTGATACAATAACATACTCAATAACTAAACTATAACTAAACTTTAAAAATTGACGTTTAATATTCTAATGATGTACAGTTCAATATTTCAAATATTTGCATACCTTTCTAGGTATCTTTTACTCAATTGATTATTTGTTACTTAATTTTCATGACTAAGTTGATATTGCTATAAGTTGGGTAGAGTTTTTAATGTTCGAAGCCAAAGTGTTTTATGAATTTAAAACTCAACCAGGAGTAAACTATTGCTAACCTGTCAAAGGTAAAAGGGGAAAACCCGCTTCAATCTCATTCCTATTGCTCTGCTCAAACTGTTTACACGATTACAGGCTCTTTTTTATTTCAAAGTAATAAAATGACGAATGACTATATAATATGAAATAAATATCCCTTGTATATTAACATTACCGGGGTTTGGAATACTCCCTTACAAATAACTTTTAAAATTTCACAGAAAGAAAATAAAAAAAACACATAAACAAACACACAATTACACTAGCTTTACTACATTTAATAAACGATATTGAACACCTATTCATAAAATGATTCACTGTTGGTTTGCAAGTACCGCTTGTAAAATCACACTGTGACATTTCAAATTTGAGTGAGCATCAAAGTAAAATGCCGCACGTCATGGGCCCGATATGGACCACCTGTCAAAGCAATATGGCGGACCAAAACATGGGTGACGCATGTGCTAAAACAGGTCCTCCGCCGGTCTCATGGAAGTTTTAACAATAAAGCATTTAATTTTCCCAGGATTATTTCTAGTTTTTTATTGAAATGTGTGTGAACTTGCTAGTACAGTACTCATTGTACTCATGATAACGAAACTTTGCGGTTTGTCCGAGCTCTATAATAATAGTAAACCCTTTACAGTCCTAACCCCATAAACGGACTGCTCAATTCATAATTCAGGCTGTCATTTGGCAGCTGTCTCTAAAAATTTCATAGGCCTATAGGCCTAGCTAAGTTATGAATGCACCTCTGTGAACCATGTACCCAGCTTGCAGTGAGGATACAATATTCAGGCTCTCCTTTGCAAAAGGCGTTTCAGTAAATACAAAAAAACAATGCGTACAGAAACAGTCAAGGGTGTAACGTATACCTTCTTACTAATATTATAAATCTGAAAGTTTGTGAGTTTGTGTGTATGTTTGTGTGTGTGTTTGTGTGTGTGTTTGTGTGTGTGTTGCTCAATCACGCATAAACTACTGGACGGATTGGGCTGAAATTTGGCATGATGATAGCTCATACATTCCCGATTAACATTAAAGCATATTCTTATCTCAAAAATCCTTTCGGGCTCCGCCCCAGTGGCTCTGTAGTTCCCCATGTTAACCTTATGATTTTTCATATTTAAAAGGAATTAATGGATCTTAACAGCTGTTTCAATTAAACAAGTTGGTTCTGTTCTATGATGTTCAATCTTACTAATATTATAAATCTGAAAGTTTGTGAGTTTGTGTGTATGTTTGTGTGTGTGTTTGTGTGTGTGTTTGTGTGTGTGTTGCTCAATCACGCATAAACTACTGGACGGATTGGGCTGAAATTTGGCATGATGATAGCTCATACATTCCCGATTAACATTAAAGCATATTCTTATCTCAAAAATCCTTTCGGGCTCCGCCCCAGTGGCTCTGTAGTTCCCCATGTTAACCTTATGATTTTTCATATTTAAAAGGAATTAATGGATCTTAACAGCTGTTTCAATTAAACAAGTTGGTTCTGTTCTATGATGTTCAATAGCATAAAAGTTACAAGGATTACCAACAGGGTGCAGTACTATTTTTTTTATATTTTTTTATTTATGACAACAGCTAATTTCCAACCAAAAGGTGAGTGAGCGTAGCGAACGAACTTCAACCTGAAGGCAAGTGAGCGCAGCGAACGAGCTCCAACCTAAAGGTGAGTGAGCGTAGCGAACGAACTTCAACCAGGACGTGAATGAGCCATGCGAATACTTATGAAGTTAAACGGGGCAAAGCCCGCGGGTACAGCTAGTACCTAAATAAATTAATGTGTTGGTTCTAGAAGAATGAAACTCCATTTGTTTTATTTCTATAGTTGATAGTTCTTAAGTTGCTTTACATGTTAATTTTGCTTGTGAGGATACAGAATAGTATGTTCAGTTAAAACAAATATAACTTCAACTGCAGGCAAATCAACCAGTGCTTCATACAACTTATATTTTATATAAATGATTATTTAGTAGTCTTTATAAATGTGTTTGATCATAGTGAACATAAAAATCCAACAGATTTGCAATAGAATTTTGTTAATACATTCATCGAGAAAATTTTAAATTAACGGTAAAAATTTCTACCACGCGTTTAAAAGTTTCATCATGTCAATGAGTGATAGGTACTTGAAAATGTTTTACAAATCGATAACACAAAAGCAATAATAGACCGTTATAAGGAATTGGACAATTTTACATTGAACTTCTTGTAGTAGCTATAAAACTTAAAAATAAGCACTATGAATGACTAGATTAATTCATTGAGTGTTGGCGTAGAGGTTTTCAGAAAGTCCTTAGAGCCAAGCTCATTTTTACAGCCAGAGACAAAATAACTTCTTGACCAGCATTGTACGTGTTATACGACTTGTTACACTTTCAGAATAATTAAAAAAAAACAACAGTTTTTTCTGTTTGGATTTTTGAAGATGTCCAATACTCCACGTGAAACCTGTTAATTGGAGTGTTTAAACCAAAAGTGGTAATAATTGTTACTCTTACATCTTTTTAATTGAATTACTCGTTTCCTCTCATAAAAAGTAACATATGTTTATTAAATTTAACTACTGTTCCAATATTTTAAAGGAAAAAACCTCTTATTTATACCAAGTTACATCCACCGGTATTACACGATGAACAAATAAGAGCTTGAGTGGATAAATTTTCACGTTAAAAAGTACGTTATTAATTACTGGAAATTGTAACTAGATATGCAAATAGGTAGTTTGTGAGTTAAGATCAATTAATTGATGAATCAACTGAGGAACCAAGACTGTGATGTATCGGGTGCTCGTCTCCAGTACTATTCATTCTTGCGACATGCCCCGTGATTAATTTGAAAGGTTTTACAAACAGGCCGTCGAGATCCACGTTGACGGACTAGGTGGAAGATTTCAAAAAAAATTTACCAATCTCTTACATAATGTGTAAAAAAATATTTAAATAAGTAGCCAAGATGTTTACTTTCTATGTTTCATATGGAGATAACAAATTGACATAGACTTGAGGTCGTCCAGTGGTCGAAATCTTGACCAAAAATATGTAATGTACAGACTTCATTATTTTCACCCCACACTGTAAATAAACATGCGATTGGAATTTCTTCCTTTTGTTTTGATTTTCTGTTTGTATCTAGTTGTCATTTCGTCACCAAAATGGCAACCCATAAGACCAATGTTAATTTTTTGTAATTTTAAATTCATTTTCTAAATTATTTTTAAGCATACCGGTATTTAAATTTATAAAGGGTTTTTGCAGATTTACAGGAAAATATCTTTTTTTTAACAGTATTCGTTGATTTTTCCTAAGATGCACGCGAGGTGAGAGACAAGTTTTAAAGAAACACGCCTGCCTATTAATATATAGATAACACAGTAAGATATATGGGATTGCATTAGCAAGAACTAGAACGAGAAACGATCGAGTGTTAATACTCACTACAAGTCTGGCACCAGCCCGACGAGGAGCTATTTATGACGCATAACAAAGAACCTTTATAGCTACTACTATGCACGGGGCGGGTACATAATGTTTATTGGAGCAGCCTAGTTGTATATGATGGAAATGTAAACGGAGCTGTTAATGTTTGTTTAATTTGCGTTATTCTACGTCATTGGCGTGTTTACGTGTAAACCATTTCACGTTTTGATTTAACGGAAAACCGAAAAAAACTATAAACCAGAAATAATTTTCTATCGTGCCACAAATTTGACCATTGCATCTAAATATAATGTACGGTATCATATTGCAACCAGTGTCATATTGCAAACAATGTAATACCATTATCAACATTATAAAGCTAGTGCGCTTTGTTGTAACCCAATAATAATTATATTTGACAGTTAAATTATTACTCTAAGTCAAGTAATTAGTAAAATTACCGTAAAATTCACTCACAGATCAATTGCGAAAACAATAAGTTTCAAACGGATCCAGAAAAATCTGCAGCTTATTTGTGGAATTAATTTTTGATACACATTTACAGTACAGCAATGTTTGGTGTAAAATAGTATGTGATTTAATATAAAAACTTTATTCCCACAAATCTGTTAAATAACAGTTCACAATAATTGGTTCTAAAATATTGAATAGTCTACTTAACTTCCCTCTATACTAGGATTAGATGTTTCGAGCCCTTTATTAACATTATTTTCACGTTTCAATGACAAGGTTCTCGATCCTTTATGTATTTTACAGGTCACGTACATAATAGTAATCTGTTTACGTCCATTGTTTCATCTAGTGTTTATCTGATAGTGATATCTCGAAATCTCTGACAACTGCAAGTTAGCTGTTAAAATAAGAACTTCTTTAAAACGATCTTAAAACTACTATTTGGAATTTTCTGAATATTACATTCTCTTTGCTGTTCTTTTATAAGAATTGTTTGTTTATACATTGGTGATTGCAGAACGACCAGGGCCGCCCGGAAAGCCACTTCTGGTACCCAGTGACAAGAGATCCCCAGAGCCCGATGTCGTCACTATACGTTGGGAGCCACCGCTCTACGACGGAGGCGCTCCCATCACTGGTGAGAATACATTGTAATAACCGTGCGTGGTACGAGTGAGGGTTTCAGATTTTGTTTGTGCATTTCATTGTCCGTTCATACTTTACATGACCAGTGGTAAATTGCTTTACCAAACTATCGTGTGAGTCTAACACTATTCCAAAATCTTATTCCAGAACTATCCACTGTCGAACCTGCTATGGAATACTCATGTACAGTAGCAATTCATTAATCAATTTTCATAATCAGTTTTGACGTATTGTACATTTACTGTAGTAAAATAATATTTAAAGGTAAGCTAGCACCATTGTTTGAAACCTGATGACAAGGTACAGCCAGCCTCAATTTCAAACTCTATGGGTAGAGAATAAGTTATAGTGTCTACCTTCGTGAAGATTGCTGGTTCGATCCCAGGTGGGGTCAATTCTGGATCTAAATACATTTTGTCATAAGTCTATCAATTCAAGACGCTACACTATCTGCCACAAGACCGAAGATGGGTAGTAACAATAAGATTTGGACCGTTTGCTATGTAGCCCCCCAGTTGTATACACATAATTTGCTTCCAGGTTACCTGGTGGAGCACCGGCGTACCGGGTCACCTCACTGGGTACGCTCGGCACCCCAGCTGGTGGCAGCCCCAGAGCTGACCCTTGCTGGCCTGGAGCCCGGGTGGCGCTACCAGTTCAGGGTCTCCGCCCAGAACGCCGCCGGACTCTCAGACCCCGGGGAACTCTCCGACCTCCTGACAGTCACTCTTCAGCGCACCGCTGCCTCCGCACCATTCTTCGTCAAGGAACTTGCTGATACTGTGGCTCTGGAAAACGAGAAAGTGAGTGATAGTAGTCTTGACTTGGATATCGGAGTAGACATCTTTTATGTATGAACTAGCTATAGCTATAAAAACAGTTGAATCTGCTACTAAGCACACCTTATGTCAGCCTGTATGTTTACCGATAGCTACTTTAGGTGAAATGGCTTAGGTAACCACCTCAATACTTTTACAAAAAACCATCTTAAAAGTTAACAACAATTCCAGAAAGTTGATAACTAGGGAGAATGCAAATCATTACATTTAAACCTAGTACCTGGGGACCGAGCTTTGCTCGGGAAACTAAACATTAAAGAATAAATAATAACAAATTTAAGCTTTAATCTAAAATACCTTATGCAGTGCTTTCATAGAACAAATTGTCCTAATAACAACACCGTTATGGTGTTTATTAAAGTATTAAATGAACAGTAATAAAGCTTAGGCTGAGGCTAATATACGAATAGTTTTTTCATGGATTAGAAACTCAAACTCTCTCAAGTTTTATGATATAATACAAATTCTTATACATCAAACGATTTAATTAACTGGAGCAAAGTCGAGTCGTTCTCTTTCTCTCTGTCACAAGTTTACAAAATTGTATGTCAGAAGCCAATCAATGAATCAATACACATCAGATTCAGAAGTAACAGTCACCTGGACCTCGGAAAGTGCTTCAAGAGCTTTCTGCGCATGCGCAAGCTGAGGTGTCCGTGGGTACAGAACGTCACGTCATGTCTTAAAATGTAAACAAAATGACAATAATGGCGGAACGTTTTCTCATAAGGCCCATGTTAAATTTTAAAAAGTTTGTACTCATATTATGGCGAAAATAGATTTTTCCTGGCTATACCACTGGTCTAGAACTTATTTTTGTCACAGAACTTAGTTATTCCATAAATATAAACGTTTTTGTTAGGGCCGATTCCCAGATCGAAGTAACAATTATTCAAACTTTACTCGTATTATATATAGGATATTTTGCAAAAGTAATCTATTTTAAAATCCTAAAAGTGATTTTTCTCTAGTTTCTGGCAAGCGAAAGCTCAAGACTTGGCTTAACTAACCAACAACTGTCCAATAGATGGATTTGCTTAACGCAAGACCCTTCTGTAGTAGGGTTATCTCTCTTTAGCTTTATTGTACAAAATTACCAAACTCTTCCATTTACAATGTAACCCCTACTATCACACAACCTTTGTACTCAGTACAATATTTTATACAATGAAAAACTAACCAACTGTTTATTATTAATGCTACGTATGATATCGCATAATTTTCTCTGCGTCTTTCTTACGGTTATGCACGTTTAAATAGTATTTTTTAATCAGGAAATGGCACTGTTGTTCTTTTTTCTAAATGTCCTAATAGCTTTGATATAGTAATGAGATATCTACTTTGTTGTATAAGGTACATTCGTTGTATAAGGTATAAGGTAGTGTCTAGGTACCAGGTAGTAGGTTCGTAAATGTTCAAATATCAAAGGACAGACTGAATAAATTATAAGCAGCTTTTAATAATCTTCACACAAATTAAATTGGGATTACTATTGGCTTGGTAGAAAAACCATTCAAAAATTTCAAAGTGACCTAATACCAACCCCATCCTTAAATACGTGAATAGTTTTAAACATATTTGTGTTTTTTTCCTAATAAGATTTCTTATCGGCCAGTGTGACCGATCAAGTGAAGTTTAGCTTTAATTGAAAAACTTTTGATGCACGGCAGCGCTTGGAATGTGTTGTGCAATGTCTTTTGAACTTTTCAATAAAGTTTTAGCTAATTAAAACTAGAAAGAATAGAAATAATTACGTGTTTTATTGATATTTCTACGCAGTGTTCATTAAGTGAGGGGCGTTTCTTTTAATATATGATTAGTGAGAGCATAGACAAACATTTAATTCTTTTTTCTATGGTGGAAGTGATAGAATATGTTTGGTTAAGAGACACGTGCGGTTTGTTTTAAAGTATAACATTACATTAACTTACACCAAGGAGGTTTAGGCAATGCTGTAATGTATCTTTGGCCTTTGAATAATACATCCACCTACTTACTAACTCTTGAGGGAAGGAAGATATTTCACAAATTTCTATAAATCTAGAAGGTAGGCTTTCACGGTGAAAGTATACCACCCAATCTAGGTCTTGCTCAAAGATGATTGCTGCAACGCATACGAAACATCGAAGTATATAACACAACTGGAATGCTAGGTACGTGTTCACGAAAGCGCGCCGTTGTAGCAGCCTTCCCGCACCACCATGGGGGACCCAGCGGATTTTAGCCAATTCATCGAATAGTGCGCGAAGTTGTTAACTCGCTCCTAGCCTTCAATAACAAAGATTAAGTACAATGATGTTTATATATTTGTAATCTGCATCAAATGCAGAATGTAATGGTATAAATAATTTTTACTTTTAATTTGAAATATAATTTCTATAGTTAAAAAGAGTCAAAGATTTCTTCATTGTGACATGAAAAAGTTAGTATGCGAGGAAGTATTTTATTTTTGGGCCAGAAGAAAACTGTAAGCGACAAAGTTGTAGTTTAAGAGATGATTTTTAACATGTGATCGAGCAATTTACAATTAAGTGCGCAGTTTGTTTGTAGTAAAGTGATTAATAGCGCGACGAGATTGATTTTATGTCGCACCAACCGCCTCACTCCAGCAACTCTTTATGTTTTTGCTACTCGATCATTGTAAAGCTAAATAAATTTTAACCTTATTAATATTTGATATAAGTTAAAGAATATAACTATTCTATGGATGTGATCATATATTTTATTTATTTGCAGAAGATAAATATCAATACCGGTAATGAGCTGCCGCTGAGTTGAAGAAACCCTATGAAACCGGGTTTTCCGCTCCGTTGAATGAAATACTCAATGTAATACAATTTACAATTGTGTACTAATTCCTATATTAGTAATGACTCTTTGGAACTAACAGACTTCAAAGAAAATGTATTGTATTACATTTGTGGCTTTGTTGTGCGAAAGGTAGATATAGCAGTTAACTGTGAAGAATGTTCTAACTTTACAGTTCTGCGATTAATTCAAGTTTTTCAAAGTTTACTTCTTTTGTGTCAAATGGTAAATTGATTTATGTTACCAAGGAAGTTTTTAGGTTTGTTAAGTATTTGTATATTTTGTTCTTGCAAAATAAAGATTCGCCTCAGTTTTGTTCTCGTAGATGCATTTTATCAGCATGCATGAAATTTCAAGGAAATTTGTTTACAAACCATGTTTCTAGCAATGACATTTCTGATGAAAGTCACGCTTTGAAACTAATGAAAATGATAGGGACATTATTTTATAAAACAGTTCGTTTCGCCAATGCGAGAAACATTATGTATGAATGCAATAAAAATAAATTAGGTGTAAGACAGAAATTTAAGAAATTGGTTTTGTATAACAACATTTAATGTATTCAAGCACTGTTGTGGACATTAATACATATTCTTAGAAATTCTGTTTAGTATTATTAACCAACCAATATAACAAATACTCCTATGTCAAAGGAACGAGGCCAACAAATCGATTTGTAAATTTACTATTCAATTGTTGTTATTGCCTTTACGTTATAGTATACTAGCTGTAACCCGCGGGCTTTGCCCCGTTTAACTTCTTAATTTTCAAGATGATCTCGTTCGCATGGCTCAATCACGTCCTGGTTGAAGTTCGTTCGCTACGCTCACTCACCTTTAGGTTGGAGCTCGTTCGCTACGCTCACTCACCTTTAGGTTGGAGCTCATTCGCTGCGCTCACTTGCCTTCAGGTTAGCTCGTTCGCTACGCTCACTTGCCTTCAGGTTAGCTCGTTCGCTACGCTAACTCGCCTCCAGGTTGAAGTTCGTTCGCTACGCTCACTCACCTTTTGGTTGCAAATTAGCTGTTGTCATAAATTTAAAAAATAATAATAGTGCTGCACCCTGTTGGCAATCCTTGTAACTTTAAAGCTATTGAACATCATAGAACAGAACCAACTTGTTTAATTGAAACAGCTGATAAGATTCATTAATTCCTTTTAAATATGAAAAATCATAAGGTTAACATGGGAAACTCCAGAGCCACTGGGGCGAAGCCCGAGAGTCCGATCAGAATAAAAACAACTTAGTTTTCCTATTTAATGCCTAAAGAATCAGTGTACCAAATTTCAGCCTCCTAGGTAAATGGGAAGTGGGAGAATTAGTGATGAGTGAGTGAGTGAGTGTGTCAGTGAGGGCTTTGCCTTTTATATATTTAGATTACGTTACTAGTCCTGAAAATAAGTGTTTACCGGACGAGTGTGGTCGTTCCCGTGCGAGACGAAGTCGAGTACGGGATTACCATACGAGTCCGGTACACACATTTTGGACGAGTTACGTACGATAGTTTACGCCATACTACTAAATCCGTACAAATCCTTATATATTTCCACCAACTAAAGGACTAAAAATCACTAGTCATAACCTCTAAGAGAGGTTATGTTTTTGTTTATAACCACTCACTGCCACCTAAATACAGTATAATCAGCTGATTGGTGTCCGGCAAAACTCATTGCAGCACAGTAGTACGCAATGAAACCCCATTTGAATAAGCTGGCGGCAAACAGCTGTTTTCTGGACTAAATCCTTGCGTGGGAAGTTCGTCAAAATAATGTAGTGTGGCGTAAAATATTTTCTAGGTTTAATATTTATGACCTTATTTATTACTTGCTCTCAACCTTAATATTTGAAATTTCTCATTAATTACCCAACAAAGCAGATATTAAAAGATCCCTCGTTACAACTAAACAAAGGGGGTTAGTTGTAAAACAGTTTAGTTTTAACAAAGTTTAGTTGTAACACAGTTTAGTTGTAACACAGTTAACAGATGTAACACATATATACGTATGTGTTACCTGTAATAAAAATTTATTTAGTATAACTATTGATTGTACTCAAAACGTTTCTGGGAGTACCGTAAACGAAAAGATCAGCGGAACCAGGGAGAACGGCCCGCGGCGCGATTTATAAAGAACCTCTTTGCGTTACTAATTACTCCATTACACACGACTAGAAAATTTTATATGAAATTTCTTGGTTACATGTTGAAGATCATCTCATTAGCTACAATTTTGTCGCTTGAAGTTTGCTTCTGACCAAAAAATAAAAAAAATCCTCGCTTAGTAACTTTTTCATGTCAAGGTGTGATATTTGTTTAACATTTTTAGTTGTTAAAATTCGAATTACGATTTAAATAAGATTATATTTATACTGTCAGATTCTGCAGTTAATGCAGATTCCGAATATATAACTTTCATTGCAGTCAACCTATTGTATGCACGGCCAGGAGCGTATTAACAACCGCGTGCACGGCACAAGGAACTGACATATCTGCGTCGAGTCCACCTTTGTGGTGGGGGAAGGTTGCTGAGACGGCGCGCTTTTTATCCCAAATCTCCTATCTACCCGGTGTTCCAGTTGTGTTATATAATTCGATGATACGAAACGTCCCCACCGTAGTTTCGCAAGTTGGCCTTCTCCCAAAGACCAATATTAGATAAAATTGACGATTGTTCTTAAATAAATCTGCACATTTGCATGTCATAATTTAGGCTAAGTGTCCAAGTGCGAGGACCCTAGTCCTGACCATACCTTGCTCCAGAGATGGATTTTTGCCAGTTCAATGTTCCTTGTCATCTGCCCAGTACAGCCCATTATTCATAATAATAATATACATTCACGTTAACATGATGTACTTCAGGCAGAACTGAGCGTCCAGGTGTGAGGAACCCTAATCCTGACCATAGCTTGCTCCAGAGATGGATTTTTGCCAGTCCAATGTTCCTTGTCATCTCCACAGTACAGCTCATTGTTTATAATAATATACATTCACGTTAACATGATGTACTTCAGGCTGAACTGAGCGTCCAGGTGTGAGGAACCCTAATCCTGACCACAGCTTGCTCCAGAGATGGATTTTTGCCAGTTCAATGTTCCTTGTCATCTCCACAGTACAGCCCATTATTCATAATAATATGCATTCACGTTAACATAACGTACTTCAGGCAGAACTGAGCGTCCAAGTGCGGGGGACTCCAACACCGACCGTGGCTTGGTTCAAGGACGGAGTTGAAATCTTCAGCAGTCGCAGCTATCGCGTGGTCACCGACAACGAGGTCAGCACTCTGGTCATCTACCAGGCGTCGCTTAGTGATGAAGGAGAAGTCAAGTGCTCGGCCACCAACCGTGTCGGGTACGCTGTCACTCGGGCCAAACTCATCCTAGAGGGTGAGTCTTATGGGTAGATACAATGTTGGAGCTTGGAGGGTGGGGTGCCTCTTCACCTTACGCTATTTAGAGCTACAGTACTTTGTGTTGATTTTTTTATATCATCATGTGCTAGTTAGCTTATCAGTTAGTTATTTAGCCCTAATTAACATGAAATCTACTGTATATCCACGTCGAAACAGGATTCTTATATCTTGTAAAGATACAATCTTTGATATACTCTAGGAAATACTTTTAGATATATATTCTTGGATATTCAGTACTTTTGGAAGAATAACAATGGGAAATGTCAAATGTTATGCAATACATTGATAATTTGTCGTAAATTATGTAATATAAGAACATTTCAGGATTGAGACGTTTTAAGATATAAATATATTGTAACGATTAAAAAGAGTACTATTTTTAAAGTAAAATGTAAAGTTTATGTGATACATCAATGAATGAACAAGTCAGCTACGGTTCAGCGAGAAATTAGGATTTGTTTCCAAAAGTATTCAAGCGATAAAGAAAATTTCATTCTCTCAGTTTCTGATGGGCCTAATAACGACCGATGTCTGGTCAAAATCGACTGACATTGTAAACTTTTTGGAATATATATTTGTAAAAGTGTATATTTTGAGTGTAAATATTAATGTATCAAATATATCTCGTTTTAAAATGTTCAATAGTATTTTAAATTTACAAAGATTTTTTTAATTGTAGCCCCACCAAGTATTCGACTGCCCCGCCAGTATGAAGAAGGGTTATTGTTCGAGAAAGATGAGGTCATTAGATTGAAGGTAAATAAAAATATAAAACATGCTTTATAGACTTTAATTTTTCTTAACCGTTCAAAAAATGTATTTTAAAGTACTTTTTAGCTACGGTACCTACTATTAATGTGATTCACCATTATTTTTTTTATTTTTACCTGACGAAAAACAATAAGAACGTCCCTTTGAATTTTTCTTAGACTGTAAAAACTCTTCTGATACACAGTTTGATCTTCCCTCACTATTCATTTGTCAACCTGCCTGCTACATAAAAAATGTTTACAAACCATGACTAAAATATATGACCACAGATAATATAACTCCTACTAGTAGGGGTTTTATTATCTGTGCTATAACCCATGAAAATTCACTTGTGTAGTTCTGCATCGATTAACTTCATTTCAGAAAAACTGTAGAAAATCCAGAATATTTCAAAATTGAGGACATAAGTTGAAGATTAATTAGTTGGTGAATTTCAAGAGTCTATAATAATGTAGTTGACAGGCTTACCTCAATACGTAGCCAAGCCAAGATTTTAGATTATACCTGGTCTGTTCAACACCTTGACTCAATAAATCTAGGTGATACGGTATCAATTTTCTTTGCCCCAAAACTGCAGCCTTATCACCTTGTAATCTCTGAGTTTTGAGGTGGACCTGTTGAAAGCACTGGCAATTCAACTGGTATTCAGATTATTTTCTACTAATTCTTCCTGCAGGTGTCAGTGGCTGGACGCCCAGTTCCGGAGGTCTCCTGGTATCTGAACGGTGAGCCGGTCCCGGGTGGAGGTCGCTACGAGGCCGGACACTCAGAGAGGTACGCGACGCTCCGGGTGGGCGAGGCCCGGCGGGAGGACCGAGGAGAGTATCAGGTCCGCGCTATCAACCGTCTGGGAGAGGATCTAGCATCGTTTCTGGTCACCGTTGCCGGTAACCTGGATCTATATTACTACTAAAATATCGTAACTAACGTAACTTCACAAGTTCTAAACGGTTAAGTTATTAGTATGAGATGTGGTGACGTGGGAGCCCACTTTGCTTGTTTGAAGACTATAGTCTTCACTAGCTTTGACAGGTACTATGTGTGTTATGGACTACGAATTATTGACGTGAGATGCTGGTGGGGGGTGGGTTGGGATTGTATGTTCATGGACATTTTCCGTTATACCACTAACCACAATGTTTTTTTTTTCAGTTTGACATATTATAATTATCCAAAACTCTGTTTGAGGTTGGAATATTTTTGATTGGGTTGGGTTTGGTCAGAACCTAGGCATAACCTAAAACGACGACAACATATTGTGTATTCTTTAATGAACTTATATAGGGATAGTCGCATAGTGGAAAAGGTCGGAGTCATAAGTAGTGGGAAACTCAACTGAAACTATCCTTATGTAATTTTAACAGATTGTTCAAATAGTCTTATCAGCCTTATACTACAGGTGAGGGAATCTCTTGGCTGTACTCATACGGAAAGTTCAGAGACTAGGTATGAGTCTTACCACAGCTGAGCTAAGCCTATATGAATTTAATTTATCTCAGCTCAATTCAAGTTAACCTTTCCCACATTCATAAATCTAAAGTATTTATGATTTTGTTATGTTACAGTCTCAGATAAATCTGACCATACAATGCCGAAATGTAATATTACCAGTGCATTTATTTATGTAAATATCAGTAAAAACACGCACTCGATTAGATATCAATTGTTTTCAAAGTTAACTTGAGGTGAAAGCTACACTGATGTATATTTTCAGTGTTAATACTTTTCCACCAAAATTGTTCCTTTAATAATTCAAGAAGTAATCATTAGGGTTCTGAAAAATCATAGTATCCTAGAATAACAGTGCCTTACTTATAGTTTTATATCAGTAGGCCTACTCTAATTGCAAAAAATAAGGAAACCTCTGAACAGAATACCGTAACTGATAGTTGAATATTACATCTCCTAGTGGAATAGATTACAGAATAGGACCGGAACCAGTTCGAGTCGGGTGGGGTGAGGGCAAGCGGTATCCAATAAGCTTTCAGAAAACTGTCCATTGTTGCCAAATTGTGCCACGCACTCAGTCTTAGCCCGACAGCCGACCTGTGCGTTTCGAGTATATCCTCTTGTTTGGTCAAGAAATTGCCTTAAAGTTGGTTAATAATTCGAAACAGGCCAGTAACAAAGCTACAAAAGGCATCTCACTCTATTCTACACTCATATTTAGGTTAAAATACGCTCATAGGTGGCGTCCCAATCTCAAATGAATAATAATATTATGGTAGATTGTATCCTCTTCATGTCCATGTTAATTTTGTTTCATGTATCAAACAATAAGCTGAGCAATATTTTAGAAGATTATAGAACTGCTATACAAATTGCTTGGTCATATAAATTTACTGTTAAATTTATTAATTTTGTGTTTATATATATTTTTCAAAAACTACATCTGGTAGCTGTTTGAGCCATTTTAAAGACAATTGTGTAGCAAATAATGAAACCATAATAATGTATGGGATGAATTTTGTGTTCCATACGATATAAAAATATAACAATACCAACCGATGCCACCAAGAACAAATGAATTATTAATTTGTAGTGTTGAACTGAACTACTATACAGTGGGACGATAGAGGGGGGTGCCGTGCTCTAGGTGAAAGTCAGCTTACCGGCCAAGAACGAAGTGGCAACGTCGCATCCCCTACCTCCTCAAAGGCCAGTCCTATTCTGTAATCTATTCCACTATAGTATGTCGGAGTTTGATAGAATCTGCAACAGTCGTTTCTTACCAGCAATTACTTACTCTCAAGATTGCCAAACCTTGTTGTTCAAGGTTGTCAACTGAATATTTGTGTTTACCCTAGACCGACCGATGCCTCCGGGAAGAGCAAAGGTAGTGATGACCCTCGGTCGTTCCGTTACTCTCTCATGGTCAGCCCCTGAAGACGACGGTGGCTGCAAGATAGGAAACTATATCGTGGAGTACTTCAGGGTAAGTGATGGTTAAACTGTCAAACAAACAGAGAGTAAACATCTGTGATGGAAGACAGCAGTTTGTATCAAAGTTGATTAGTACATTACTATGAAGTTATTCTCTCGTTGATGATGAAAGGAAATATATATATTAATAAATATATAAATACACACGGAAGAAACTGGGGTCCCCTGCCACCATTTGAAAATCCCCCCTTGAATAAAAACAGTCGATTAAAGTTGGGAGATTTGCTTTTTAAATAATCGACACATTTAACACTGACAAAGTAGGCTATTTATCTCAGAAAAATTTCACAATTTCACAATGAGTACAAGGTTTATCTCAACACACCTTTAATTTCCTTTTAATATTTCAGGAAGGCAATCCCCAAAATTCCAATCAGTGTAGCCTTTTATTATTACCATTAACCAGAAGAGCAAAGCTACCTTAGTAAACCAGCATTTACTCACAAACAATTGTTTGCAGCCTTTAGCACAGTTAAACTTCTGGAATGGCTCAAATTATTTATTGAAAATAGCACCAAAAAATCAAACAAAGTGTTTCACACGAAAGATATGGGTACAGGGATATCCATCCTGACACTTAGATAATTTGATTCTGAGTTTGTATAAATATTACAATAATTTGTTTTACATTTTTTAACTTGGGTATGTTCATATTAAACACTGGTTAACTTTAAAATCCTCACTAAAACATCGGCCTATACTTACATATAAATAATGGTGACTGCGTTTTTCATTAATTTTAAAATTTCATAAACATTAAAATATTAATGTTAGTATCACCTCAACACAATCAACATATCTGATTTATTGTTTAAGTTTGTATCCAACACTTCACTGAGGAACATTGTTGTCGCGGCAGTTCTTTCAAACCAATTATAAAATGAAAATATTTGTATTTACTTTTACTCACTACAGTGCAGTCCAGATTACTGCTCTCTTTAATAATTTTTGCACTCTAATTTTTCTAATTAGAAAAATTAGATAATTTTTTACTATAAGACTAGGTATCTAATTTCATATTTAGTTAGGTTTATAGATGGGCGTTGTCTTAAAGCGTTGACAAAATGCTTTAAATATGATCATTTTGCAACGTTGCAATTTATTATACTTACGAGAATGGAGTTAAGAATATTCTTATTCTTAGTTATCATTTTACTATACATTAATAGACTATAGATAACATTTTATATTTTGTACTTGAACCGGCGACCTCTTGATTACTAGGCGAGCACTATAACCACTGAGCTACCCGGCCTTTTCTTTTCAACTTTGTCTGTCAGACAGTTATCTTTTAAGCTTATTGTTTATTTGGCGCAGGTGGGATGGAACATGTGGCTCAAAGCTGCTACATGTCGCCAGCTGACGACAACTTTGGGAGACCTGATAGAAGGCTCGGAGTACAAGTTCAGGGTAAAAGCTGAGAACCCCTACGGTGTCAGTGACGCAAGCACAGAGAGCGACGTTGTCTTCATCCCTGACCCTAAGAGAGGGTAAGGTCATTAATTGTACATTGATGTCCAATAAAATAAGATAAAATCTGGTACATTTCAATTGGTTAGCGGATCTATCGTACTAGTGTTGGTGATGACGAAAACCAGAATTTTCGAATCTCAAAATCAAAACTGAAACTTAAAAATTAAAATCCCAAATCATGCAGCTTGGAACCCAATCGCAAAACCTTTTTTAGTTGCCATGTTAAAGCTTATTAATACAGGTAACAGTTCAATGTTAACTGTGCAAACAATAAGTTGACGTAATAACAAGAATATGAGACTGTTCAAACCTAAAAACATATTTTTTGACAAACAACAAACACAAACATTGATTAAACTCCTGAGTCCTGACCCCAACTTAAACATGAATATTAACATAAACATAAAAAAAAACATTAAGTGATCAAAATAAAAAATTCCAAAACTATATTGATATGAAATGGTATTGTACGTTGTTTCAGTATCAGTAGGGATTTATGACACATATTGCTGTTCAGAATATGAGGTACTAGTTTCATCAGAATTTATCTGCTTGCTCCATTGAGACAAGCTTAAGTGTAAACTGTGTTAATAAAAAGTATAGTATCGCCAAAATATGTCAGCCGTTTTAAATCCAAAACTTACAAAATCTCAATTTTGAAAATTTTGACTCCTTCCAAAGTGTTGATAATTTCAGATTTGAGATTTTATTTTGACACCTCACTAACGCTAATATTTACAATGACTGCCTCAAATGACGAGAACACCAAGCAAGTGATCTAGATTTTGTAGATTGAGATACCATTTGTATCTTGTAGTTACAAATGCTTAATGGTGTTGACCGTCTGCTATAATCAATACTGCTGGGGGTTGAGGAGTGACCGGACAAAGATAAATACTTAATAAATACAAAATCAAGAGCCAATCAACCTGTAAAAAACACACAGAACTCTACACAAACATCGTTAACTATACACTTCTAAGTAAAATAATTTAAAATAAAACAGATGAATAACTTTATTAATTTAAATTATTGTATAAAAACACAAGTTCAACAAACCTTCAAATCACTAACACTTCGTAAAAACTGGATTGCAATCGCGGTAAAAGCATAGCAGGTAGCGCTCAGAACTACCTGTACTATTAGTTATTCCAGTATTTACTAAGATGTATATTCAGCCGGCTTAGAAAATGTTTCTTTATTTCAAAATTTGATTTATTTTTAAATTTATTAAGTACCAACAAACAATCAATTAAATTTTTATCACCATCAATTCAATTGAATCAGTTGAAATTTTATTTTCATTTTTTTATTTCATTGAATTTTTATTTTTATTATTTATTTTTAAATTATTATTTTTTTAATTTTTTGTTATATTGATTAGGATCTCAGATCCATCTCAAACACTACCATTGAAAAGAATAATACATTTAATTATTAAAATCCTTAAAGATTTCTTAAGTACACTTTATATTGAGTCATAAAATATTGAATGCTATGGCAAAAGAATAAAAATAATTATTTTCCAGACTTTTGGAGCCACCAGAACACACAGAAGAAGAGGCTATGGACATCTGGAAGGAAGACAAGAAAAGACCTGTCTCTCCCACCCAGACATTGGACGAGCAATATGGTGAGAGGAAGACGAAAAAGAAACGGGGACCCATGAATCCACCTCAAGCACCCCAGCCATCAATGAGGGATCTGATAGTGCCTTCAGACAAGCACTCAATGTTAAGTGAGGACAGCATGTCACCTCCAGCCACCCCTGAGATCCCACCACCAGTCGTACCTCCCAAGAGACGCGGGAAGGATAGAATAGAAAGAGACTTGCAGGAGGAGAAGGAAACAGCAAGGAGGGTCGAGGAGAAACGGAGGGTTGAAGAGTTTAAGAAAACAGAGGAGAAAAGACAAGTGGAAGAGGCAAGGATTGAGGAAAAGAAGAACGAAGAGAAACGTAAGGAAGAGGCAAAGAAAAAACGATTTGTTGAACCCCAGTCCCCACGCTTGGAAAGAGACCGCTTCCACGGTAGCTCGGAGCTCATGCTGGTCCTACTTCCCCATAGCCGAGCTCCTACAGAAGAGAGAGGTAAGGATAATAACGAATATGTTGTAACATCAATTTTATATTTTTACAGAGGACTGTGGCATATCTTCTGTTCTATCTCCAACGTTTTTACTAAAAGTATCATACAACATTGTTTCAAAATTAAGAATATGTAGGCATACAATAATATAACTTTCATTTCCAATACTCGTTTAATAAAGAACGAGGTAACCCGTGCGTAATTTGCGCATTTTAAAAGGTCCAAAACTTGTTCCAGAGGCAAAATTAATCCAGTGCTATACCCAGTTATCTTTTGAAGATTAGGTTTCTTAAGAACAGTTATTAAGTGAATAGAACTACTTATTATACAATACAATACCAACAAATTGTTGATTTTAGATCTACACTATAAAGAGTGATTTACCCACCTGAATTATCGTTGTCAAAAAAATTATCTTAAACTGTTTAGTGTCTTGTTTACAATCTTACTTTGGTTAAACAGTGGTTAAACATTAACTGCAGGATCAGCTGTTAAATTACAACCCGCATTTAAATTGTAGTAAAGAGAGGTGGTCAGCAAAACTTGATATTTGAAAATGGGCTCTAGAAATAAATTAAATTTGAGGGGGTAAAACTTCAAAGGAAATAACCCTTTTAATTGCCATTCTCATGTGTGCTAGATCATTAGTATTAATATGATACTTCAATCTTAAAAGTTGGTCTAGTAGGACAGCTGAAAAAGGGATATTCCATGGCATTAAGTATATATTAAGTTACCATAGTTAACAATTTTAAATTATATATGAGAACTGAAATAAGCTAAACTCTCTTAAAAGTATTAAAAAAACTTTATTTTAAGCATTTTACTTCCCTTAGAAATATGGTATTGAAACTTAGCGATTTGAATTTTTCAGAGACAACACAGTCAAAGAAAGAACTGTTTGAGAGCAGCCTGGCACTAGAAGGGAACGATATCGCCCCACCAATGTCGCTCTCGGCACCAGAGTTGGGCAGTGGGGAACCTCCTGAGATACCGAGGGTGAGAGCAGCGTTCAGCTCCACTGAGCTGTTGCATGAGCGGGCTATGGCAAGGTTTTACCAGGATATGGAACAAGAGGAGGTAGAGACCAAACGACGAGGGAGCGTCCAGCGCCGCAGGAGCTTTGGATCCAGACCACGGGATACTCTAGAGAAAACAGCTTCACTTCAAGAAATATTATCTTCGCTTAGATCTTTGAACGAAGAAGTAGAAAAGAAAAGGGAGCTACTATTAAACGATTCAACCAGTAAAAAACCGTTAGCGATTGCAGGTATTGCAAAATCAGAGCGTATATCATTCACGGGAGATAGCATGGACAGTGTACTCTCAACAGAAGAACGCAAGAAAACACTTTTACAACAAACATCTGAGGAAGATATGGAGTACGAAGATTCCTCGTTTGAAGAAGATGAAGAATATGAGGAAGAAGAGTCTGTTATGGAACCAGGTGAGGAGGAGTTAGATGAAGAACTTGAAGAAGAGGAGGAAGAGGAAGATGAGGGAGAGTTCACGGTTTATAGTAAAAGAGGTTCAATATACACATCTGAATCAGAAGATGAAAGATATTCCTTATTGGAAGATGACACCTATCACCCTACGAACGTAAATACAAAATACAATGAGGATTCTCTTATATCTGCGTATGAGGGCAGGGGCCCTTTGATTTTACCTCAACGAACAGGGCCGTTATCACTTCCTAACCCATCTCAATCAATACCTTCATCTTCTGTTCTAGACTCAGGCAATGAGGTCAAACTAAAACCAATACTAAAGAAGCCTTCTATTGAGATAAATAACGTCCCTGAGATAATGGATGTCGGAGAGATTAATAGAAGCATGGAAGCCAAAGATGAACCCCAACTCAGGTCTCCTGTATCACCTGAAATACGTTTCGAGCCAAACTTTAGTCCTGTAATGCCCAAGCCTATTTTGAAGGTAAGGGATCATTCTCAAGAGAAGTTTTCACCATTAGTACAACGTAAAGGAGCCCCAGTGGCAGAGGTTGAACCTGAATTGAATTTGGTATCAAGCAGGGGCAACCTAGACGATGGCTCGGATTATGAATCGAGTACTAAAAAGAAACAGGTCAGAATAGAAGAACCTGATGAAATGTCAACAAGAGCATTAGATAAAAAAGGCAATGGAATTTTAGAAACAAATACGCAAACGCCTGAAACAATAGTTGAACAACATATAAAACCCCCTGATAAGCCCGTAACACCTACTGTGAAGACCATAAAATCTACTGAAAAGCCGCAAGAAGAAATGCGTAAGAGAGGAGCCTCATTAGATGACGAGGTTGAAGCTGCAAAAGTGCTAATAAATCACTATAGTGATATCGTAGCTGAATATGGACGTGGCAGAAGACCAAATAAACCACGATATCTTGATTTTGAAGCACTTAGAGCAGCTGCAGAAGAAGAAGAAAAGAGGTCTCCTGCATTACCAGACATCATAGTTAATGAACCTACAGAAGCTGCATCTACGAGCTATGTCCAAGAAGACATTTTAACAAAGGAACCAGAAATCCTGGATATTGAACCAACTAGGGAGGAAGCGAAGTCGGTTGTTGAAGCACCAAAGGCAATAGAACAGAAACCACCAAAGAAAATCTATGAACAGCCCGAAACTGAAGTTTTTGAACCGATGTATGAACCATCGAAACATATTGAACAAACTGAACCGAGCGTTACCAGGAAACGTGATAGGTCAGTAGACAGTCAAGCTAGGTCAATAGCTAAGAGGGATAGATCAGTTGACAGCCAGGCTAGATCTATAGATACAAGAGATAGGGGTTTTGACAGCCAGGCTGGGTCAAATGATAAAAGGGGGAGACCGATTGAAATACAGGCTAGGTCGCTTGATAAAAGAGATAGGTCAGTTGAAACCCAGGCTAGGTCAATAGATAAAAGAGATATGTCAGTTGATATCAAGTTTAAGTCAAAAGATAAAAGAGATAGGTCAGTTGACAGCCAAGCCAGGTCAACAGATAAAAGAGATGGATCTATTGACAGGAGGGACACGCAGTCTGACAAAAGAGATAAATCCATAGATAAGCGAGATAGGTCAGTTGATAGGCGAGATATGCCAGCAGACGGAAGAGATAGGACGATAGGTAGGAGGGATAGGTCAAAAGACAGAAGGGATAGGTCAGTAGACACACGTGATAGATCTGTAGATGGCAGGGAAAGATCGTTAGAGAGATCAAAGTACATATCACAGGCATCGACATCCGTCAAAAGACGATCACCCTCTCCTTGGAAAATGAAAAAAGAAACGAAAAGAGATATTTTTCCGGAAGACAAGACTGATATTGCCCGAACGCCATCCCCTTCACTTCGCAAATATACAACGCCTGAACAGACAGTTCATTCGTTTTTCGATTTTCTCATGGACTTGTCTCTATTCCTTCTAGCTTGTTGGTTGTACTTGTTTAAGGACGAACGCCTTTCGATTCCTGTTCTCGGCTTGATGGTGTACAGACAGGCCAATGAAGCGTTTCAAAGAAAAATGGCTGCTTTGAAGGAGAAATCAAAACGTTTAATGTTTTGGAGACGAAAACAATAAAACAATGTTAGACTGTGAAACGAGAACGCCATTCAGAACCGGGATATATATCGTATTAATAATATACTATGACATTATATTCACTTCTTGATTGTAAAACAATTTTTTACTCTAAAGAAGTATGGATGTATAAAATGAATTTAACGTCTCTTATCGACCCAATGAATATCAATTTTAGGACACAATATGCAGTACAAGTCTGTAAGCGATTTTTGAACTCTGGGTTATCAATAATATATAACCTTTGACTATTAATACAACAAGTATCCAATAGTCAATGATATAACCCAAATTAAAATATGACTACTAATGGTTATTTTACTCTGTATGTTTGCAATAATTTTGAATTTGCAATATTTAAACCAGAATGTGATTTTAATATTCTATAAATTTCCTTTCCAGCGCCAGCTTTATGATATTGATGTCATCCCTACCACGTATGTTTCGTGTTAGTTTGTACACCTTAATTTTTCTTACTCGATATCAAACCACTTCATTGTTTAATTTAAATTACTGTTTTATGTAATAAATTATTTTTTACTAAAGTTTATACTATTGCTGGATCACGTATCAAAAAATTAGTTAATGAAAAGGGTGAATTTCTGCTCAAACACTGTTATATATAATTATTAATGTGTTTCAGTGATATTATAGGTAAGTTAAATGTTAATATAACGTATCTCTTTGTATTATAATGTGACATATTCTTCAGTTTGTCTATTTTGTGTTTTCTACGTTTTATTCTAAATAAATATATAAACTATACGTTCAAGCTTTTAATTATTCCACTCTGTGAACATTTTCATTGCTAATATATGATATTCTATGAACATGTTTTTCAATTCCAATTAACAAAGAATGTCTTATTTAATCACCACCAAAGCCTAATTTACTAATAAAGAATGTTTCAATGTTTTTGATTTTTTCTTGAAATACTCAATATCCTGGACCGACTGTACACATCTTTTGAAAATTTACATTCTTTTAATTTCAAAGTAAGTCACTGTACAACCTAGACTATATTATATTGTGATTTTTAATAACAAGATTAAATATCTGTTTTCATACTGTAAGTAGATAATTTTTTTTTTTAAGTAGAATAGGGTTTTATGCATAAAGTGTATTTAATGATTTAATTTAATCATCTAGTACAAAGCAAAGTAAAGCATCTAGCCAAACAAAAGATTTGTCTGGTCCTTTTTGCTTTTTTAAATTTTACTCCCCCTAGCAATGTATATCAATAACAAATGTATATTTCTGTAATCATTGAGACAAAAATCTTACAGAATAACTCTCAGTCTGCAGCCAGTGTGTAGTGAGATAAGTTCATAGTTTTGCTGCTCCGTCTCCTGGTAGTTCAATGTTGTCATAAAAAATGGTTGCTATAATGGTTGGCTAAAATATATAGCTTTTATTCTAAGCTGCGATTCATTGAGCAATGTTTGGATGTTTTAAATCAAAACTAAAAGAGTGTAATAGTATATTTCGTACCTAGGGCCGAAAACCATTTTTGGTCCGTGGTACGAACACTATTTTTCACCATACTACAACTATTCACAATAATAATTAATGCACACTGATAGTCAACGCAACTTTAAGGTTATGTAAATAAGTAATTTCAGGAATCAGCAAAAATAATAATAAACTGTTGCTAGGCAACGGTAAAAATAAAACAATTCTATTGCAATGCTATGGATACTGTTTGTGTATTTAATATGCAAGCGGGCAGCTGATTTTGCGGCCCTAGGGATGTAAAAACCTGCTCGGTCCCCAAAACGACGATGACAGCTGGCATGGCCAGCAAAACGTAGCTTTCAGCCTCTAATTAACGTATGTAAACGCAGCTAATAACATCATAGTGTGGTGAAAAATATTATTGTATATTTCAACAAAAATGCATCGTAAGGCCCTCTATCAGCTATCGTAGCTTAGCAGTAGTTAGCACCAGGTACAGTATTATTAGGATCAGATAAGCCATAACAATCCATCTATCTTCTATACATATAAAAGTCAAATACCATTCACTGACTCACTGATCACTATATCTCGAAAACTACAAGCCATAAAAACTCAGGAATTTGCATGGAAGTTCCAATCAACCTCTAGGTGTGCAATAAGAAACGTTTTCAAGAAATTCCATCAAGGCTCTGCCCCAGTGGCTTTTGAAGATCCCATGTTATCCTTATGGAGAAAAGATTTGTTTACATTTGAAAAAATGAATACTTTTGAATCTTCACTATTATCATAGACAAAAAGAATTAAATATAGACCGTCAGCTGTGCTGCGGTTACAATATGTTCTGGCGCACACCACTGGGAGCACCATGTAGTTACGGCATACGCGATGTGTAACTACACGGTGCTCCCAATGGTGTGTGCCAGAACCTATGGTATCCATGGTAACCGCATCACGGCTGACAGTCTATGTTTAATTCTTATTGTCTATGCTATTATTTAAGGAACAGCTGGTTATATTTTACCAGGTGAAAGGGCTTGATCTATATTGAGTCTGTTCTTGAATCAGTTAAGCCATAACAATAATGAATCAAATAACCAATAAAGAAACATAATATCTCAAAATTCCACAAATAAACGGTCGGCCGATTCACACTACACGTTGATCTTAAGTAATAGTTAGATCCCAGCATTCACCTGGTCAATCAAGCATGAAAAGAGACATGTCGCTCGGGTGGTAAGGTTACATGACGAGAAAAAAATTTGAAGAAAACTGACAACCTAAAGGAATACCACTGCAACATATTGCTTGAGCCCAAGGGATGAGGCCAATAAACGTTATTCCTTAGTTTTTTCTCAAGGAACTTTACATACACCTGCCTGAGTTGATACAAATGGGGACCCACCATTGGGCGTGTTGCCAGCCTTACTTCGTTACCTACTCATCTGCTTTTTTCTGAAAGTGGTTATTTTTTACTTAATGCTAACTTTCTGTCACACACTGTTGACTTACAAATTAACGCTGAGAATATTGAAGAAGGAAATAGGTATGTTCAATTGACTTTGTAACAACAGTTAATTAATATAAAATAGTGATTAGTCCTTCATAGGCCTTACACATACAATTCCCAAAACTCTCGTTTGCCGTAACCCCTACATTAGTAGGTGTGTTACTGGCCTAGATGCTAGCGTCTCGCGGGACGGGTTCGATTCTATGAGAGCGTTTGAAATTTATCCCATTGGAAAAATGCCGTACTGGCGTGGACACAAGCAAGCAATTAAGAAAAGTACAAGTGGTGAAAGCACATTAGGTTGACGCAGTGGTTAACAATAATTGACAATGAGAGAATTTTACTGACACTCCCTAAGGCAAGAAGGGTGAGTTGCAAATATAACCGGGTTGAACACGTCATCTCTATTTAACAAGTGGAGTGCTTGATATCGTCTACGATTATCAAGCCAAGTGACCAATATCACCCCTGATTTTCAAGCCGAGCTGTCCTTGTTTGCTACTATAATATTACTCTTTGTCAAGCCGAGTACCCAATATTACTCCTATTTATAAAGCCGAGAACCATAAAGTACCTACTATATCTATATCTATATATATAAAAGGCAAAGCCCTCACTGACTGACTGACTGACTGACTCACTCACTCATCACTAATTCTCCCACTTCCCACTTACCTAGGGGGCTGAAATTTATTACACTGATTCTTTACGCATTAAATAGGAAAACTAAGTGGTTTTTATTCTGATCAGACTCTCGGGCTCCCCCCCAGTGGCTCTGGAGTTTCCCATGTTAACCTAATGAGTACTCATATTTAAATGGAATTAATGAATCATAACAGCTGTTTCAACTAAACAAGTTTGTTCTGTTCTATGATGTTCAATAGCATTAAAGTTACAAGGATTACCAACAGAGTGCAGCACTATTATTTTTTTAAATATTTGACAACAGCTAATTTGAAACCAAAAGGTGAGTGAGCGTAGCGAACGAACTTCAACCTGGAGGCGAGGTAGCGTAGCGAACGAGCTAACCTGAAGGCAAGTGAGCGTAGCGAACGAGTTCCAACCGTAAAGGTGAGTGAGCGTAGCGAACGAACTTCAACCAGGACGTGTGAGCGCAGCGAACGAGCTCCAACCTAAAGGTGAGTGAGCGTAGCGAACGAACTTCAACCAGGACGTGATTGAGCCATGCGAACGAGCTCAAGTATGAAGTTAAACGGGGCAAAGCCCGCGGGTACAGCTAGTATATATATAAGGCAAAGCCCTCACTTACTCACTGACTGACTGACTCACTCACTCATCACTAATTCTCTTACTTCCCTTTTACCTAGGTGGCTGAAATTTGGTACACTGATTCTTTAGGCATTAAATAGGAAAACTAAGCTGTTTTTATTCTGATCGGGCTCTCGGGCTCCGCCCCAGTGGCTCTAGAGTTTCCCATGTTAACATTATGAGTACTCATATTTAAATGGAATCAATTAATCTTAACAGCTGTTTCAATTAAACAAGTTGGTTCTGTTCTATGATGTTCAATAGCATTAAAGTTACAAGGATTACCAACAGGGTGCAGCACTATTATTTCTTTTACATTTATGACAACAGCTAATTTGCAACCAAAAGGTGAGTGAGCGTAGCGAACGAACTCCAACCTGGAGGCGAGTTAGCGTAACGAACGAGCTAACCCGTGAGCTAACCTGAAGGCAAGTGAGCGCACCGAACGAGCTCCAACCTAAAACCAGGACGTGATTGAGCCATGCGAACGAGCTCACTTATAAAGTTAAACGGGGCAAAGCCCGTGGGTACAGCTAGTCTATCTATATATATAAAAGGCAAAGCCCTCACTGACTCACTGACTGACTCACTCACTCACTCATCACTAATTCTCCCACTTCCCATTTACCTAGGAGGCTGAAATTCGGTACACCGATTCCTTGGGCATTAAATAGGAAAACTAAGTAGTTTTTATTCTGATCGGGCTTTCGGGCTCCGCCCCAGTGGCTCTGGAGTTTCCCACGTTAACCTTATGAGTACTCATATTTAAATGGAATTAAAGAATCTTAACAGCTGTTTCAATTAAACAAGTTGGTTCTGTTCTATGATGTTCAAAAGCATTTAAGTTACAAGGACTACCAACAGGGAGCAGCACTATTATTTTTTTTAATTTATGACACAGCTAATTTGCAACCAAAAGGTGAGAGAGCGTAGCGAACGAACTTCAACCTGGGGGCGAGTTAGCGTAGCGAACGAGATTACCTGAAGGCAAGTGAGCGCAGCGAACGAGCTTCAACCTAAAGGTGAGTGAGCGTAGCGAACGAACTTCAACTAGGACGTGATTGAGCCATGCGAACGAGCTCATCTTGAAAATTAAGAAGTTAAACGGGGCAAAGCCCGCGGGTACAGCTAGTTACTTATATTTGTCACGCTGAATGTATACCCATTACTCTTCTTTGCCCAGTTGAGTGCCTACTATTACTCCCATTTGTCATGCCGAGTGCCCGGTATTGCCCCTGTTTGTAAATCTGGGTGCCCACTATTTCTCCTAATGCCCAATAGGCTATTACTCCTATTTATCAAGCCTAGTGCCTAATATTGCCCATGAATGTCAAGGCGAGTGCCCAATATTACTCCTATTTATAAAGCCGAGTACCTACCTACTATTACTCACATTTGTCACGCTGAATGCCTACCTGTTACTCTTCTTTGCCAAGCAGAGTGTCCACTATTACTCATATTTCTTAAGCCTAATGCCCTCTATTCCTCCTATTTGTCAAACTGAATGTCCACTATTTCTCCTATTTGTCAAGCCTAATGCCCACCATTCCTCCTATCTGTCAAGCCTAATGCCCACTATTCCTCCAATTTGTCAAGCCTAATGCCCACTATTCCTCCTGTTTGTCAATCCTAATTCCCACTACTCCTCCTATTTGTCAAGCCAAGTGTCCACTATTCCTCTTATTTGTTAAGCCGATTGTCCACTATCCCTCCTATCTGTCAAGCCTAATGCCCACTATTCCTCCAATTTGTCAAGCCTAATGCCCACTATTCCTCCTGTTTGTCAAGCCTAATTCCCACTATTCCTCTTATTTGTCAAGCCGAGTGCCCACTATTTCTCCTATTTGTCAAGCCTAATGCCCACCATTCCTCCTATCTGTCAAGCCTAATGCCCACTATTCCTCCAATTTGTCAAGCCTAATGCCCACTATTCCTCCTGTTTGTCAATCCTAATTCCCACTACTCCTCCTATTTGTCAAGCCAAGTGTCCACTATCCCTCCTACTTGTCAAGCCAAGTGCCCACTATTCCTCCTACTTGTCAAGCCTAATGCCCACTATTCCTCCTGTTTGTCAAGCCTAATTCCCACTATTCCTCCTGTTTGTCAAGCCTAATTCCCACTATTCCTCCTGTTTGTCAAGCCTAATTCCCACTATTCCTCCAATTTGTCAAACCTAATTCCCACTATTCCTCCTATTTGTCAAGCTGAGGACAAGCCGAATGTCTACTATTGCCCCTCGGTTTGTGCAATTGAAGGCATGGAGTCGTACTGGAGTCCCGCCGAGTGTACGCAGGTCCCGGCCACATATAGACGCTGCCCCTGGGACGAGCCAAGCTTTAGGCTCAGTTTTGCTTGGCAAGTGCGCGTTGAGACACCTCCACCTCGACCTTATAGCAAACATGTCCATCTGGTGAAACTCGCCATGGCCCTTCACTCGGGTATGTGCATTCCAATTATTTTAAATTTTTTTGGATTAGTAGGCTTAATGTGATTTTTTAAACTAAATTATTGAGAATAGAACCTATACAGATAGTTAATTTTATTTAAGTAACTATACAATATTTACTGACATGGGTTGTTTGGGTGTTAAACGTTTATTATTTATTAATATTCTGTGAATATAAATACTGCAATGATGAAAATAGAATAAAGAAGACTATGTTTTACCTTGAAACTTTACTGTTACTTGTCAGTATGGAAATGTTGTGCAATTGTTATCAAATACTGTATTTAATTTTGATTTACATCAACACCTAATTAGATGGTAATAATAATGAAGAAAGTTTGTATTTACAATTGATACATTTCATATAATATGTCATTGCTCTGTTATGAACAATACTAGGTCTAGTTTATGTATTTCATCGTTGTATAAACTTAGTTTCATTGATCTAATGACTTAATCAATCATGCAACTATGAACTATGAACGGGTTTTAACCAAATAATCAGTTGGCAACCTGTTATTTATAAAATACAAATAATGGTGATGGTTGAAAACTATTTTACTTACGACCGTTTTTTAAAGTAGCCATTTCAGTTTAGTTCTTAGAATTGAAAAGTTTCACTTAACAGCTGTTTACTTTCATAACAGCATAGTTTCATTTCATAACAGCATAGTTTTTCTCATAACAACACGGGTAACGGACCAATGAGATTCAAGGATTGAGAGAAAAGAAGTAAAATTGTAATGTTTCGAACGTTAACTAATCAGCTGATCAGCTGATCAGTTGACAATTTTAATTGTTGGTCCGTCTTGTTCAATGTTCCTGTTGATACTCTCGTAATTTTAACCTAAGTTGGTGGTTAAGGGAAGATAGATTTAACTGATTTAAAAATTTCAGTTTTAGTGAAAGTGAAGTTGACGAGATGGAAATGAGAGCACAAACTGTTTGTGCTAATCTTTTGCCACCAAAATCGAAACAAATGTATGAAATTACATACCGTACCAGCAATTTATTAAATGGACGAAACAAAATAAGGTTGGATTGATAAATAAAAATTAGCCTCTGGTTTATTTTGAAAACCTCAAACCGTTGTTTCACCAAACTCGTTGTGGACCACATATTCGATGCTGAGATCTAACTGTAAATTAACTGTTTCACTATATTGTTCAGTTGTCCAAATAAATATGCATTATTTCCCTAACTGTACCTGATACAGTATTTATGGTGAGAATGCTGCTAGAAGAAGCTATTGTCTGAAAAATAGTAACGTATTATTTAACGAAATTTTACAAACACGTAATTACATGAAATCAGCTGATTATACAATAAGTCGTTGCATCACTTTCAGTGGCAATGACAATCAACGAAAACATAACCTCTCTAAAAAGTTATGAGTAATGATTGTTAGTAATTAAAAACCAGAATGTTAGTACTTAAAAAACTGTCGTAGGTAAAGTAATGTACGCAACTCGCGTTAATAGTCTTTACGACACTCGTAGAAGTTTTTAAGGCACTCGCCAAGGCTTGTGCCTGAAATTTTCTACTTGTGTCGTAAAGACTAACTTAACGCAATCGTTGCGTAAACTACTATTACATTCAGGAACATACAGTATGTTATTTGAAAATTGAAATTAGTTGTTTTGATATAGACACCTCCGGCCCTAGTAGTTATTTTTTGTCGACGAAATCAATCTGAGGCCGGTCACCAATCAATCAGACACACATTATTACGTGCGAAAACGTTGCCTTAAATAAAACAAACAGATGCAAATATCTTTAACTTATGAAGGATGCTGTTTCGATCCTAAGTGGAATTCAAGTTAAAGATACAAAACCAATGGTCGAGTAACGAAAACAATAGGTTCATTTGACAGTATTTAAACGTATTTTAACGTGTAGCCAACACCACCTTTAAACGTGATTCAGATTGCAAACATGATGAAACGGTTAAATAACTGTAAGTTGTACTCGCCCTAAACCTTCAACTTGTTATGATGAATTTGAAGTCTTGAACAGTATTGAAATGTGCCTCTTTTTTTGTAGTGATTTTTGTAATGCCTGCGCATTGGTTGTCCAGATGTTTTGTCGAGTGGTGGGGGTTTCGTTATTTTCAAGGGTACAATTGTGGGTTTAAAGTTATTCGTACTTAAAGTAACTTCGTATTGAGTATGCAGAAGTCCACTGCTCGTGAATGTTAAGTTTTTTATTGGTTGTGTAGTGGTTTTGTATTTATTATGTAGAGATTTAGTAGTGGTTGTGTAGTGGCGGTGCATTGGCTGCACATTGGTTATTTAGATGTTAGTGGTTGCTTTGTAGTGGTTGTGTTAAGGTTTAGTGGACAGCATGTTATTATTGTGTAATGTCTTTGTAAAATATAAGTAGTCATGTATAGATTTAGTGATATTGTAGTTCTTGTACAGTGGTTTTGTATTGGTTTAGTGACTATGTAAAGAACAGATGTGGTTTTGTTGTTGTCAAGGAGTGTTTTAATAGCCGTATTAATTGCGTAGTTATTGTATAAGGCCCTTATTAGACGAGGCAGCCAAGTTGCGCAGCCAGCCGGGCAGCCAGTCACTGGGCATTGGTTCTTATGGAGCTTATTACACGAGGGCAGCCAGTTGCGCAGCCACTGTTTGGCTGCCGGCTGGTTGCCGAGCCCGGCGACCGCACAGGCAACCACTGGCTGCTCGGTCTGGTCGCGCTCCTGTGTAGCTTACGGATCTTATTACACTGAACAGCCAGTCACCCGCTGCCACACATCAGTAGTAGTGGAAACACACCAGTTCACTCGTTGAAGTGCGTTCATCTCATTATCATCTGCGCAAAGTTCGTCAAAAAGGGTGTAATATAATCCTTTTTCTGTTCTTGATGAAAGAATAGGATGTATATGCATTCTCCTCTTCCTTCGTCTTCTCTTTTTCATGAGTAGAAGAAGAAGCAAATATTCATCTCACATTCTGACAGCGTCTCTCCCCAACAGAACTGTTCCACCAACACTGTTCCACTGTCAACAAAAGACTGGTCTAGTTGGTAATTTTGTGGCTGCTCTACTGGTTGCTACGCTAGGCAGCCAGACAGGCGACTGGCTGCCCGGCTGGTTGCGCAACTTGGCTGCCTCGTCTAATAAGGCTCTAGGTTTAGAAGTGGTTTCTAGGGATTGTGTAGTGTTTTCGAATTGGTTATGGTGATTGTTTGGTGTTGGTTCTAGTGTTTTCGAAGTACCACTGGTAGTTTATAATGATTGAGTTGTGGTTTTGTAGTGTATAATGTACAGTTCTAATGGGGGTTTTCTAGTGATTCGATTGTATGGTTTACAGTTACACTGGTAGTTTTTTAGTTACTGTGTAGTGGTTTCATAGTGATTATGTTCAGTTCCACTTGTAGTTTATACTTATTTTACAGTGGTTTTACAGTAATTGTTTATGTACAGTTCCACTGGTGGTTTTCTAGTGATAGGGCAGTGGTTTCATAGTGATTATGTACAGTTCCACTGGTGGTTTTCTCGTGATTGTGTAGTGGTTTCATAGTGATTATGTACAGTTCCACTGGGGGGTTTCTAGTGATTGTGTAGTAGTTTCATAGTGATCATGTACAGTTTCACTTGTAGTTTATACTTATTTTACAGTGGTTTTATAGTGAGTGATTATGTACAGTTCCACTGGTGGTTTTCTAGTGACTGTGTAGTGGTTTCATAGTGATTATGTTCAGTTCCACTTGTAGTTTATACTTATTTCACAGTGGTTTTACAGTAATTGTTTATGTACAGTTCCACTGGTGGTTTTCTAGTGACTGTGTAGTGGTTTCATAGTGATTATGTTCAGTTCCACTTGTAGTTTATACTTATTTTACAGTGGTTTTACAGTAATTGTTTATGTACAGTTTCACTGGTGGTTTTCTAGTGACTGTGTAGTGGTTTCATAGTGATTATGTTCAGTTCCACTTGTAGTTTATACTTATTTTTCAGTGGTTTTACAGTAATTGTTTATGTACAGTTCCACTGGTGGTTTTCTAGTGATTGTGTAGTGGTTTCATAGTGATTATGTACAGTTCCACTGGTGGTTTTCTAGTGATTGTGTAGTGGTTTCGTACTGGAGTATATGTGGAGTTGTGTGTAGACTGATGATATTTATAGTGTTGTCGACGGTCAGTGGCAGGGCTGCAGAGAGGAATGTGAGCTTGTACTCGTGGTATTCCACAGTCATTAATGATGTCTACTGTTTGTCTCTTTTATCTGTTCAGATGAGTTTAAGCGTCCAATGATTTTCCTATTTTCCAATGTTTGCATCAGCTTTTGAAGTTGAAGGACATCCTCGGCACCAAGAACCTTTGATACATGCTCTTCCTTATTTTAAACGTTTAACCCCACTCAAAAACCTTTGTACATGACGTACAGTGATACAGTGAGCAACGTAGTATCGTCAAGATGACCTGAATGTGGATGCTTGAATGTGGATGCTTGAATGTGGATGCTTGAATGTGGATGCTTGAATGTGGATGCCTGAATGTGGATGCCTGAATGTGGAGGCCTGAATGTGGAGGCCTGAATGTCAGGGGACTAGATGATAATAGGCCTATGTCTTGAGGCTCATGCAATTTGTCTCTTAGAAAACTAGTCTAGTTTTTTATAACCACACCTCGTATGTAGTAGTACGTACATTAAAACAACACATCATGATTGGTCATCGTCTTTCGGTCATGCTACCAATGCTCACCAACACAAATTTGATATTAAATCAAATATCTTCTATCCCATAGATGCATTTTTATACTGTTTGAGTAAAAACAGAATCCACCCTCAGAGCTTCATCTCATTGGCTATAGCATAATAGAAAGACAATTGTAGTCAAATTAGCCAATTATTAACCATAAATGAACCATAGAATTAAAAAAGATGAATAATAAGACTGTTTATGCCCACATTATTGATATGTCATTATTTCTTGGTCCAATAAACCATGTGATCGCAATTTAAAGCAACATGTTGACTCCTTT